TCTGCCACCACTGCTGTGTCCCCAGCTGGCACAGCTGACCATTGAATCCAAAGTGGTGTTTCCATACTACTTTTCTGTGTAGTGACAGTGTTTTTCCTAAATCACAGACTTTTTGGTTCATGAGGGCAAGTTTATCTCCTAATTGTGTAGTGACTAGAAGGGAATTAAGTGTGCAAGTCCTTTAATTTAAAATAGGAAAGTGTATTACTGGCCTTGTTCTCTGATGAGTCGAACATTAGGTATATTAATATTAGTAATGGAACATAATGGCTACTTGTCAGAAGTAAAGATAATTATTTCAGAAACACAAAACTAAGCTTGACAGATAATTGCCTGTTGAAATCTGATGCTGTGCAACAAATGGAAGATTATTAACAACAGACTCCCATGTTCATCTGTTATATCATTAAATCCTGTATGTTACATTGGCAGGGTTATCATTGCATTAAAAACATCTCCCTCTTCTTGGAGATGGATGTCAATTCCAGCTTAAAGATTTTGATTGCCTGGGGCTGTGCTGTTCTAAATAAATTGTTTTGTTTTCCTCCAAAAAGTTGAGAAGCTCTGCATAACTTTTGTCAGGTGTAGGTTATATAGGTGTATGCTACTTGCTGAAGGAAAAACAACCACCATTTCCATTTTGCTGGTTTTTTTTTTCTTTTTAAAAAACCAAACTGGTTGTATTGTTTATAAATGCGTATTCATCCAGCAGGCACCTTGAGATCTGTGAAGATTTTCATTTACTGGACAAAGGTGTACCAACAGGAAGTAGTGAAAAGAAGTTTGAAGGTTACAGACAAGTAAGGCTCGAGAGTGAGTTTTCATTACATCAGTAATGAAACCTAAAATAGCTTCAGTAGGTAATGTTACATTTCAGCCATTTGATTTTTTTTTAAATAAAGAGTAAACTTTTTGTCCAAATGTCTAGTGTAACTTAAACCAAGCAATGGTCCTTCAGGCTTTGAAGTTTGACTGTGAACTTCATAGGACATCTGCTAGTTCAAAACTATTTGTTTGAAGTCTGTAGTTGTACCTTGAAAGATGGGTACAGGCATTGTTTGGGAGAACGCCTTGCAGTCAACTCCTCTTCTATATCTAATAAAAATTTCCTGCTCCTTCATTTTTTGACTCAAATGTTAAACTGTGTTTTCTGTCATCAAGGTTGATATTAAGACTATAATGTTGCTGTTGTCGCTTTAACAGTTTTCATCAAGAGCCATCCCCAAATGCTACTCAGGACAATAGTGGCAAGCTTAAGAAACATTAAAAACATCTAAAGTTTTGCGGAGCAAATTGTGTTCAGAAAAAATCAATTTGTATCAAAAAAGGCATTATTTACCTAATCATTCATGACTGGAAAAAAGCCTCATGAAAAATTGCCTTATTTCAAAAGGCAATCATGAAGGCTTCAAAGTACATATAATCTCATTTCTGTACTCTCATTTTACCTGCTTTCTCTCCCTGCACTGGAAAACTGCTGTCATAACTGTATCTATTTCCTGTAGGAGCTATTAGTTAGTAGCATTACATCCGCTTAAACGTGATCACTTTTCTCTTCTGTGTGTTACTGATACGCTGTTATTATGCCATAATATAGCTCATCCATCAGAGCTTGCCATGTTTCCTGTGCTGATTGTAGTATGGAGAGCTGAAGTGTCCTCTAAAAAAATGTTCAGAGATGCCAGAATATTTTAATGATTCTGTGGTACTACAGAGCTACAGCCTTCTTGTGGTGCATTTCAAGATTGCAACGCAAAATTTTTCTCTGCTTTTAATTCCTAAGCAAAAGCACTTTAACCATCAGTTTTGAATGTAACCATATCAATTCCTCTTTATTTAAATGGCAGATTCATTAAAAACTCCATCTGGCTTCCATAGGAAGCTTGCACAAGTCCTTGGAAATGGATTTTTCTTTTCAGGACACAAGGAACTGTGGCCAGGATTTAGAACCTCTTCCTCCTGCAGCATATTTGCCAGATGGCAAGTTTATTGAATCTGGTTTTAACTCACTAGGGCTTAAAGGAATGAACACACCTCTGAGAAGTGGGTGCTACATTTCTACTTCAAAGGTCTCCTTTGAAATTAGCCTCCAAAGATTTATATGCAGAGAGTGGTTGTGACCTGGGCAGTCTGTTGCATGTCTCTCATCTCTTTCAGTGCTGAGTCAGAGTGATGCAAACCACTTTAGAAAATCCCAGTAATTTCACAACACTGGGTGAATCTTGCTGCATGGCTTAATTAATTTTTTATATAAATATATATATTTTTATATATAATTATTTATTTTGCAGTGTTGTAAAGACTCTTCACTTCAAATACTTGTTTTCTAAGTAAAATAGGAAAATTTGACAATGAATATCACTGGTATCACTTAAAACTACTCTTGGATATTGTCCTCAATATGGAACTCTGCTTTGTACTAAAAGCTAACACTTCCAATGGACAGAATTTGGTTTGATCAGTTTTAGGTTTGAATTGAGTAGAAGAAGAGCATGTGTCTAAATCTCTTACTGCAGCTTTTTTTGAATTTCTTGAAGTGACTTTGAAACTTGTGAAATATATTTCCAGCTAATTAGTGTGTAAATGCTAAATTATTTTGTTAAGGGATCCTCCTCTCTTCAAAATACAAAGCCTTGTTTTGCATTTCTGTTATTTACAGAGAAATCAGATTTTTTATATTACAGGATTTTTCCCTTTCTTTCTGACAATGGAGAAGACTCCTCCTGTGAACTGATGCCAAAGAACTTCAGAGACTGCAGCATCAATATTAGCCTTTTCTTTCAGATGCAGAGCAGTGGGGATGCTGACTCTGCTGAGATGTAGTTGTGTGCCAGGTTTCACGTATTCAAGTTTGTTTAAGATAAGGAAGCAATTAATTGCAAGTCAAAATACTCTATTTTTCTCCCTTTCCACTTCCCGTGATACACATTGATATTGTTTATGTATACTCTGTATAAGCTCCTTCTGCTGGAGGTGATTTCGTGTCTTTGCAGTGGCGCTGGTTCTTGTACTGCACACAGGACTGTTCACCCCAGTCTTGGAAATAACAGCCACTGTTCTGTAAGCCTCATTTGTATGCATTTGTGAGTTGAAAGTAATTTTTTAGTCTTGATTCATGAATTTTCAGTGTTGAATTTTTTGTGAAGAAATTCTGTTGTTTTAAAGTCAAGTTTTTACACAGAATACCTCAAGGGGGTCTATTTACTAGCACTGGGACTGGGCTTTGTATTTCTATATCACCTTGTTTCTCTTGTTACTGAACCCATTTGTTAGGAGTTCTAGCAGCAAATATTCCCCAGGTTTTCGTGCACTTTATAAAAGGCAAAGAGACTGAAAAAAATATTTGTAATTTAATACAAATATTCAGGAATCTTACTTACAAAGAAGAGAGGGTGATAGCACCGGAATCAAAAGTAATAATTTTTTTTTTCTGGACAGAAAATGACAAGAGTTAATGCTTTCCTAAAACTCTCAAAAATACTCTGGTGGGATTCTCTTTGAATTAATTCCTCTGGAACGAATTCACCTACCATATTACTTTAACACTTTATTCATATATTGCAAAATATGTAGAAAAAAAGTAATGGGCCTCTGAAAACCTGGTGGATGTAATTGCATCCAGGAATACAGATGATGTCTGAATCATTGCAAAGTACAATGGTTTCTGTGGTATTTCTGAATGAAATTAGAGGTCTCTTGTTTACAGTTTGTTTGTGGTGCACTCCATTCAGTAGAACAGTGTATGGATCCAATACTAATGCAGAATAAATATGTGCTACAGCCCGATGCTATTTTGAAGATGATTTTATATTCCTAGTTTTACTTCTGCATTGCCATAATTTCCAGTTGTATCTGGCTTGATTTAAGCTGAGAGAGCTTTGTATTAGTAACATATGGAAGTTGTTATTGTTTACATTTGTTCAGCAGATGTGTGAGCTTTTTATATGCCTGACTCCTTATCAGTTGGATGAAGCGATGCATAATTCTGCAGTATTCAAGTATTCAGGCTGGATGAGAACAAGCACTGACTGTCAGTGCATGTAAAGTCCAGGAGTGACAATTCCAGTGTTTCAGTCTGTGAGCATCACTTTGTCCCCTCCTTGCAAATCAGGCATTCCCCTGTGACCACATCTGCAAGAAGGGAAATTGGAGGGGAAGCACTGCAAACAGGTAGATAGGCCATTGCACAGTGACCTGGTGAGGTGAGATCAGCTGAAGAAACCAGCACCAAGGGGCAGTTGTTCCCCACTTAATGTCAATGCCTTCAGTGCCAGGGTGGGAAATGATCAGGTCAGTCACAGTCATTGTACTAAAAAAGAAATTTACATTTCCCTTCTCCTTCACTTGTTAGCTTTCCCATCTGTCATATTTAAAATACTTAAAACACTTTCAGTATTTTTTAAACTATTTTCAGTATTATTTTAAACCATTTTCTGTACCAAAACTATCATGCTGGCCTGTTTAGAAGGGGGGGAGCCAAAAAGGCTCTACAAGAGGGGTTTTGTGTAACTTGAGGAAAAGTGTGCAAGCCATTGATAAATTTTTGTGTTTTCTGTCAACAGAGAACATGTTTAAAGGCTTTTAAAGTGTGTGATTTCATCTAAGGGTTTTTTTTTCTCCCTTCTTTGAATATCATCTGTGAGCTGATGCCATTTCAACTGAGAGCACCAGATAGGAACTTAAATAAAATTTGGCAAGCAGAGCTTCCTTAGGTGTTCATCTTAAACTGCGCCTCATCTACAGCAAACTAGTTTTGCTTTCAAAAAGCAGTTAATTTTGTAATTGAACATAAACAACAGGCCATATTTTTGATTGCTGTGTCCTTGGCTTCAGTGAAGTAAAACTGTATTTATTTACTCCAGATGAGGATCTGCCTTTTTCCACATATTTTTTTAATGCTTCTTTACTTCTTAGGGACTGAAACACATCTCTTAAGAAAACAGCAGTGCCAAAATCATTTAACTGTGCCTGCCTCTCCTCTGGTGTGCCTTCCTTTGCAGTGGCCTTGGGTCTCTACTTCCCCAGGAAGGAGTACTTGGAGAATGTCTACCTTGAGCAGCCGGCAGGAACGCCGCTGCTGCGCGTCCATGCCCTGAGGGATTCGCGTGAGGAAGTGGCCCACTTTCATCTGTGCCACAATCTCATAGCTCCTCGAGCAAGACCACAAGAAAATAATTGGTTCCAAATCAGAGAAGAAACAGGACTTCTCTACCTCAGCAAAAGCCTGGATAGAGAGGACTTTAACATGCTGTGTAAGTATGAGAAAACCAGCTTTTCTTCTTGAGGTGCATGTTCTTAAAGAAAAATACATTCAGACAATGAGATCTCTCCATTGAAAGATGAGCATCAAATTTGAAAAAAACCACATCTGACCTTTTAAAATTAGGAACCAGACCCAGTGAAATCCACAGCAATATGCCAAAGCAGATGCTGACCTGGGACAGATCCTGTTGCTCACACTGGGAACTCCAGTAGGATGGGACACTTGCATTACTGGAAATATTTTTTCTGCATTTCACAGCTGTATAGGTCACAGCTTTACACTGAAATTTGCAATTTGTTCATCTGCTGATGAAAGTTAGACCAGTTCCATTGTGTTAGGGATTCCAAGACACATGCTGTGAGAGTGGTTCAGATTCTTATGCAAATGATCCTTGAATTCTGGTGACTTGGATTCACAAATTACGATTGCATGTAACACCAAAGAGCTCTTAGAAGAAATGGTTGATTGTACCTCTCCCCCTCTCTTGATATTTGGTTTTGTTAGAGAAGCTTACTGTTGAACTAAAAAAATTCATTATCTCAGATGTTTTTTCTCTTCTTTTATGCTCTAGCACTAAATTGGTTTTGGTGATTGTGATCTATGAGGAAATTAGTTATCATTAGATGGTGGAGGAGGAAATGGATGAGGAGTTAATGGCATACCACTGTGATCAGTTGCAGAAATTTTACTGTTGAAGAGAGTCTGTAGTTACTGTCTTCAGTTTGTAAGATCCATATATCAACACTACCTTCAGACTTAGGTGCCTTGATGTTGAAATTTTCAACTTCAGACACTTAATGCTTTATTTTTGAAGTGCTGAGTGTTTGATATTTCATCCATTTTTGGTACTTGGCATTCATGTATATCAAATATTTGTGCTGAACAAAGGAGGAACAGCTACTTAACACCCGAGAGCCTTGTTTTGTTCATACTGATCAAAGTGACCTAGAACTTCTTTTCAAGTGAGTTAGATCTATTACAGAGTTATTACTGTGCTGTCTGTAGTCAAGGGAATCAAAACAAGGCTTGAGGATGTATTAGCAGATGCCACAGGTTTGTTTTTACTTTGATTTTGTCTTTTTTCTGCTTCTTCATATTTGAAAACGATGAAGCAATCTGTTCTCTGAACCTAGACAGTTTGGTCCGTACTGTTGGAATGCTGTGACTGAAGTGTTAGTCCTGATACGGATTTGTCCTGATTATCTGTTGCCATCTCATGCATTATTTTTCCTGTTTCCACCCTGCTCTGCTCTAGTCTGTTGAAAAAGCAGTCTTGTCAAAGAGTTGATTACTGCCAGTGATGTGTTTTTATGTCAGTGTCTTACAGACAGAATGCTGATATTGGTTTTGAGATTCTATAATGCAGAATTGGTGCCAAGCCTTGTAGTTTTAGGCTTATTTGGATTATTAAGGTATAAGGTCTTCCCACCAGCATCTGGCATATTGAAGAGTTGCTTTGCCACATAATAGGATTTATGCAATAATGGACTAGGGTAGAATATAAGGAAAAGAAATGTTGGCTTGTCTTCTGTAAAATAATTCTTAAGGTGATTTCTTCCTCCTGAAGCTGTAGGAAATGGGATGCAATTGTCCAAGGTGATGCTGTATGTCTTCCTTTCATCCCACCCTTTCCAAGAGAAGGAATGTGACTCTGCTGCACGCACCACGGTTTTCCTCACTTTGATCAATGCTACTGCACCAGCTTGCAGTTCCCTGACAGCAAGGCAGCTTTGCTTCACAGAAATGGATCTCTCCTTTCACATCCAGGAGAATAAACCACCTGGTACATTTCATCAGCTCCGGTTACCCTCAGTTCATCATCTGTGTCAGAATCTCAGCATTTCCTACAAATTGCTTGCAGGTAAAACTGGATCTCTCACAGATTCAAACAGCTGCACTGTTAAAAGATCTCTTTTGTAGTAGACCATCTAGATTTGATTCTATAAAGGAAGTTCCTGTACAAACCTAAACTGAGCCTGAAGATTTTGCCTTTGAGATACATAGAGGAAATGGGAAGGAGGACTGTCCCCTTCCCTAAAGAAAAGATCAGTTTTAGAATTTTTCATCTGCTAAAAGTAGACTGAGAATAATCCTGAGCTTATATTGTGCTGCTTCTAAACTGTAGAATCTTCCCATACATTCTGTGCTTTCTCCCTACTCTAATATAACCACACAGCTTCCTTCTGTTTCACTTCTGAATCTTTTATTGTGCAGTCATGCTGTCCAAATGACTTTAGTGAGCTGCAGGAAAGTATTAAAGCCATGAGAGCCGTGTGCAGTAAGTGATAGTGGCTGTGTGTGTTTTGCAGGGGAAGGAGTTCCCTTTCGGTACAACGAGAACACCACCAGCGTGCGGGTGACGCAGCGCCTGGACCGCGAGGAGAGGGAGCGATACGAGCTCATTGCCAAGTGCACCGTCAGAGAGGGGCTCAGGGAAATGCAGGTGGAGGTGCCGTTCCTGGTGAACGTGTTAGATGAAGATGACTCTCCTCCCTTCCTTCCCAACGGCACTGATACTGCAGACGCTGTTGTGGAGTTCAACAGGAAAGAGGTAATGTTGGTCATGTTCTCCTTTACCTAGTCCCTGAAGTATGGGCACAACAGGGGGAGGCAGGACTCCTGGGAAGCATAATGTTCTGCCTGGATATTGGATCTTGGCAACAAGCCCATCACCATACCATGCTCTGCAGATCTGTGGTTGTAAAATGCTGTTTGTAGGATTCCTTTGCCCCAAGTTATGTCTTACTCAGATCCCAAAGAAAGAGGAGTTTGGGTTAGTGATGAAAGAGTGTGAAGAAATTTGAGCAGTTTCCAAGACTGGGATGGACATTTGCTGAGTCTGTGGTCAGGATCGCTGTGGGTATCTCCATACAGCTCTGCTATATTTGTTATATTTGTTACGGGGTTGCTTCTCTCAGGGGATTAAAATTGTGTTGTTAGCCTAAGTGTTATGTGCGTGCCTGTCCCATACATGCAAATCTGTGTAATGTATCAGGAGTATGTTCAGAACATTTATTAGGCTGCTGTAGAAGTAGTGGCTGACTTCTACAGACTAACCACTGCACCTGTGAAGTTTCCAGGCTGTTAATGGCGAGCTCCAGGATCTTGTTTTAATGGTGTCCTCCCATTTTTCTCTTTCTATGCCAAGCTGATCTTTCAAGAGGTCTGAATCCCTTGGTGTTTTTAATGCCCCTGTACACACACAGCCCTTGCTTCAGTAGAGGAGTACACATGTGAGCTCTTCAGAGGAGCAATGACCCTTTTTAAGTTAATGGTATAGAGAAGACTTTTTCTGGGGGGACATAAACGATGTGTGTTTCATGAGAGAGCTTCTGTTTCCTAACAACAATATCTCTTGGTAGTCAATTTTCCCTTCAAAGTACATTTTGATCATATTTGTGTCTGGAAGGGATAAAGACTGATTTTAGGAGTTTGCTGCCATCTCCTGACTAGAACAAGTCTTGACAAGACATTTAGGAATACATTTGCCTGGGTTTCAGTGAAAGTTGTGAGGTGTTATTTGACCAGTATTTCAATCTCCAAACCAGTTACCAGAAGAAGAAAGCTTCAGGTCCTTCAGCAGTGCCATTTATTGTTTCCTACCAGGGCACTGTTCTTTCCACGCTGACTGTGTACGATGCAGACACCACACCTATTTATCCCCTTGAAAGCAGCAGAAAGAAATACACAGGAACCATCATTACTGAGGATCCCTGGATAAGTGAAACATTTCGTGTAGAGCACATCTTTGATGAAATCCACTTCAGCCCAAATGGCAGCCAAGTGAGGGGAACTCGGCACGAGTACAGTAAGGACTCTTTCTTCAAATAAAGGACAGGTTGCTTTTTAGTAGTTGACCAATAAGTTCTTGAATTTTTCTGAGCATTTTGTAAGTATTGAGCCTAAGAAAGCTGAGAAATTTTGTGTAAATAAAACACTGAGTTTTAAATGCGTACTGCAAAAATGGGACTTGTGCATCTCTGCAGTAGGGAGTGTATGGGATGATGATGTATAAACTGATAAGCAAGAGGTTTTGATTGTAAGATTCTTGACTTGGTAGGTAGAAGGCAAGAAAGTCTCCCAAACATCTTGAATGACAGAGAGCTTAAGAATATATTTCATATTTAAGTTGCCTGCTGTTTCCTATTAGGAAACTTGGATGTGTATAATTAAATTTGGTACATCTATTTTGGTTAGGCTTGCAATATTAAAAGATGCATTTGCAGATAATGTGGGTTGCTAATAGATTAATCTTTTCCTTCGCAGAGCTGGTACTGAATAAAAGCATTCCAGTCACAGAGCATCGTTCCTTCCAGCTGGATGTTTTGGTGAATGACACAGAATTCCATGGCCCAGAAAGATCGGTGATGCTCCATTTCAATGTCTCCATCCTCCCTGTCAGCATTCAGTTTTCAAACATAACTTACCAGTTCACAGTGAACAGAAATGCTGAACGTTTTGCACAAGTAAGAACCATGTTAATTATCCATGCCTGTTCTGATGGAGCTTAGGAGCTGGATCACTGGGGCCAGATGTGTTACAGCCCTCATTGGTTTTAACTGTTTTAAGCAGAATCACTGAAAAATGTGTTATCATTGTGATTGTTGCTGGATGTAGAAAGTAGCAAGTAGGCTGGGCACTACCTCTCCTACCATGTAATAACAGAGGATATAATAACTTCCACACATGGAAGTACTGATAGAGAGAAATATAACGTTGTGGACAGGAGGACTTGCGACCATGAGTGGCTTAGGCATGAATAACTGCAACAATGTCAAGGGCAAAAAAAAAGAAATTAGTCTAGCTATTGGAGTCTCAGTATATTAATGGCTTTTCTTTAGGTAATGGCTAGTTAGTAATTACTGTGTTTCCTAATTTAACCCTTGTTTTAGCTTAATCACCACCATTGCCATTAATAATGCTTTCCAGAGACACTTTCTAGCAGGTTGACGTTAGTCAGGGGAAAATTACAATGTAATTCCTATGAAACATTGTTCAATGCAATTAATATTATGAAAGTGAATATTAAAATCATCAGTAATGAACGCTTTTGTGTCTGCAAGGGTTGGAAAGCATGCCTTGTAAGTATTGTAGCAGAGAGGAGGACTGAGATTAAAATATGGTCATCTCACTTGCAGAGAAAACCAATTCATTAGAAGAATTTTAAGGAAGAATTAAGTTTTATTAATCTTTAAGCCTCTGGCTAATTTTAGAAAGAAAGGAAAAAAGAGAAGTTAGATACTTTGCTTGTTATTTTATCTAATCTGATGAAATGTGTTGCAGCTTGATGGCTCTTCAGAGTACAGAACAGGCTTTACTCTGACAAGGGACATTTTGTCCATAGTCTACACTGAATATCCTAAATAAGAAAAAGGTACCAAGTGTGCTCCACTACAAAAGCTAGTCCATTATGACATTTCATGATGCCTTGTGGCTGCAGTTTTTCAATTTGCAGTCAGTTTAGAAACTTCAGAGGGTAGTCTGTTCTTTTTGTGCAGATCAAATTATTTCTGATGTTAGATTTGAGGCTTTTGTAGCACCAGGCTGTGAAAGCTATACCCTTGCCTGTTGCCTGGGGATGGGGTGAAACCTGGGTTTCCCCCTAAAAGGAATAATAGCACAGGTATGTAAGATACTCATAGGCTAAGTCTTGCATCTAGAACTCTTGTGTCTGTGTCACAACATGACTGCAATTGAAACGGATGTGGACACTTACCTGTTAGGTGTGTATGAGTTTAGATTAATGAATTGGTTGGGTTGTTTTCTGTATGCATGTTTTTATATATAGGTGTATGCATACAATATTATTGTGAATGAATGAATTCCAGATTAATTTGGACAACCATGGTTACCTATGCATACCCTAGATTGCTTGAACACTTCCATTTTAAAATCTGAGCGTATGTGGATGTTTTTAGTTTTAGGGTGCAAAACCAAAAAAAGCCAGTTGAATTTTAAAGCTACTGGTGTGGAATATTGTCAGGAGAGTCAAACATGTGAAAAGGAGTTTTAGGATCTTTGAAAACAGTGGCATTTCACACTAATTGTGCAGTTTCACTGGGTGGCAGTAGTAGCAGGGGAAACTGTGCCTGGCAAGAGCTCCAAGTTTCTGGGAGGAGATCTTTTTCTTTGTGCTGCCTAAACACAAATTCACAAAGAAATTTTGTTCTGATTCTTGAGCAGCGAAGTGCAAAACTCATCCTGGCTCTGGAGATGGTGTTCTCAGTTAGTTAAAGTGTCATCCACTTGTGAAACTGGATTTGAATTTACAGTGTGCTCAGCTTGGAGCACAAGTCAGTGTAAGCAGCTTAGTCCCCAGCACTTCACATTATCAAGGTTGGCTGCGTAATTAGCCTTGATGTGCCAGAGTAGTCAGGGAAAGTACTGGGCCAAATCAATATGAAGGCTGAACTGTCTCCTGCCCTAAGGAAAACGCAGGAGCGTGAAGAAATTATTAACTGCTGGGCTGATGCCATTTGTCTATTTGAGCAGTTAAATGAATTGAATAACAGAAGCATGGCCTGACAGTGCAGGCTTGCCCAGTGGCATTTAACTTATCAAAGGACTTAAAGCTCTATTGGCATTTACTGAGACAAATGATGAATAACATTGGCTGAGATTTTAGAGAGGTTATATATGTCCAAATGTTCCTGGAATTCAGTGAAGAGGAACAGTATCATTATCCAGACTTTATTAAACATTGGAACTTGAAAGATGGATTTTTCTGTTCTTATTTCTAATAATGCTATTTTTATGTTAACTATTGAGAGTCCTGCAAATTTGTAGGTTCCTCCCCTGTAAGCTGATGTTAAACCTGACTACCCTTTACCCTGATTACTTGTTTTTTCACCTTTGTGAGAAGGGGGAAGTAGCTGTTTTTACTTTTTTCGTCTGGAGTTGTGCTGTGCTGCACCTGAGAGCTGAGCTGACTCTAGACTTGCGGAGCAGAGTGAAGTTACGAGGTTGGGCTTTCCTCAGCGGAATTAGGAAAAAAGAGAAAGTCTATTTTTCTCATAGAAATTTCTTGAGGAAGGCCTTTATAGCTTCTTCTCTAATTATATGGAGAAAGCAAAACTGGCCAATGTGCTATTCTAAGGAATAAACTGGCTGATCTGCTCTTCAGATTTTATTGGGTCATCTGAATTTACAGGGTCTTCTCCAACCCCCTGAAGTAAATTGCTGTGATGAAAAAGGTGCCTGGAAAGAGCAATTATGGCAGAGTGGGCCGAAAAGGCAGTTCAGTGTGGTCTGTGCCAAGGTCAATGCCAGGATCATCAGTGTGTTCTCCTCCTGCAAGGAGCACCATCTGAGCAGTAGCAGAGCCCTGCCAGTTGCAGTGCGGCACCAAAGCTGCGCTGACGTGCTTCTGGAAGGGACGTGTCTAGACCTTGTGTCTAGACAGAGTTTATGAACAGTGGAAATCCTGTCTTCTTCTTCCTGCCAGTCCCAGCATGTTGGGCAGAGGAGACAGCCAGAAAGAAATGTCCTTGCTTTTGATAGCTTTAATAGTCTTTCTGTGTTATCCTGCCACCTAAAATCCTGACAGGAATGGTGCCAAATGACCCATCAGTGATGTGAATGGGAAAAAGTTAGATGAGGTGGGATTATCCTATGACAAAGTATGCTTCTAGAATTGCCAAGGCTTCTTCTCTGACCTTAAACAGTCCAGGTTCATGGGAAGAGGTCATAGTACACAAAAACGTCTTTGTTTTTATAACATTCTTTAGTAAGAATGCTGGAACCAAGATGTACAGATACGCTTTTACCATCAGTGGTGTTTCTTGAAAACATTTCTTAACTGCAGCATTTGAAAATAATCCATCACCAAGTTCCTTTCAATAACACCCCGCCCTTCACATTGTGGTTTTTCCCTGCAAAGAAAGCCAATGCCTCTGGGCCTGATCGAAATCCCAGTCTTGTAAATGGAAAAACCAAAGTGAGCTTTGGATCAGTTCCTGTAGGAGCTGGACAGGAGATGGGGCTTTACATTCCTGTGCTTCTTAGATGATGTGCTTTAGACTGAGGAGAGTTCTAGCCTAGATACTCTGGCACACAGAAGTTTAAATATGGCAAACCAACATATTTTCATTTTTAGATTAAATGTTTTAGAATTGAAAATGGGAAACAATGAGGTTCTTATTCCTTTTAAGGCCTTCAGAGAGCTCTTCTGGCCAGAAACTTTTTGACTCTAATATTATAAAAATTATGTAATAGCAATTTCTGTGTTACTTGAAGAGAGTCTCAGCTTTGTTCATGCTGAGCTCTTTGATTTCTCAAGGATGACAAAGTTTATTCAGTGGTCAGCCTGAGACAGAACAGTGATTGAACTCAGAATTTCCCAAATCTTGGGGTCTTGTTCCCACTGAACACTGCTGCCCATCAGCAGAAGGCACCAGATACCACTGAGTCTGTGTCAAGGCTTTTTGCATTTTCTCTGCTAGTCTGAAGACAACAGTTAATGCTTTATGTCTCGTTTTTACTGAGAATAAATCACATTTAAAGCATTTACATACTGCATTTGTAGAAAAATAACAAATCTGTAAACCCCAAATAAACACTGAATTTGGCAAGGTGTAGTATGCTCCATTTTATTTCAGATATTTTTGAGAGGCACTAAATATTTTTTCTGAAGAGTTTTGTTCCTGTTTGTGATTTCTTTGTTGGTGTTTGAACCTAGGTGGGAAAGATCTGTGTTGAAAACTGCATGAAGTTCCGTGGTGTAAACATCACCTACAAGTTGCTGTCCCCCAACTCAAGCTGCCATCCTGTCAACATTCTGCAAGGCCGAGAGGACAAATTTGGGAGCCTGTATGTGAACGATTCCTCTGTGCTGCGCAGACCTGAGTGCAAGGAAATCCAGTACACTGTGCAAGCTACTGACAAGCAGAGCAGGAAACACACCAAAACCCTCCTCACTGTTGTCCTGGAAGGGACTCGTAAGTACCCCTGTCAGAACTGTTGATTGATTAGCAAGTGTTACTGGTGTGAGGTGGTGCATTAGCAGGGTGACCTGTAAAATGATGGCATTAACAATGAAAATGAGTCTGAGCTACAAGATAATGGATCACAGAATTTGGATTTTGAATTTTGATTTGTGCCTTCCTGTAGTAGCTATTTGTTTGAAGAACTAATGTACAGAAAGGTGAGATATTGTATGCAATTCATAATGTTCATGATGACCTTTGGTTAAGAAGAATCTTTAGTGTGTATGTGTCTATGTGTGACCTTTATTTTGTATTTCACATATTCCTGTGGAAGAAGAAAAAAGGTCTGTAAGCATATGTGTGTGTGTGTATAGGCATATGTGTGTGTTTGTATCTATCTATTTGAAGAAAGAACTATATGGCCTAAGTATGTTTGTTCACTGATTTTTCTCCTCCCTTCTGTCTACAATTTTTTAGTAGTTTTTTTAGTATTCATGTAGCAATCACACTGAATTCAAGTTCTTAAGGGCAGTGTGATGACCGACCCTTACGGGGAGGAAGTTAAAAATATCCTGTAACACCCACAGAAGAGGATTTCACTGGAAACAAACTCATTTCTCTGCAAACTATATTGCATTTTATGCTAAACCATACAATTTTACCTGATCAACACCTTGTTACATTTTATCAGTTCAGAACTCCTATGCCAAGAGCAAATGGTTTGAAGAAAAAGAAGCAAAAGGCATGCAGTGGATTTTTGTTTTTGTGCAAGCCTCATATTGTCTGAAAACACACATTTCTAGCTGGTGCTCTTTGGGTTTTTACTGTGTTAGCCCAAGAACTAAGTATTTCCCCCTAATTAAACATTCTGTACGAAGCTGTAGGTATTTGTGCTCTCCATTCTTCTGTTATCAGTATGTTTGCACATATCTATAGTTCTAGGCAGTGACAGTGTGCTGTCAAGCAGACATAACCATGCTTTCATGATCTTGCTGTTCGTCTTTTATTTCACAGAGAAGGAGCACCTGAGCTTTTCTTTAATTGTTCACTAAGTCTACTGATAATTGGGTCAGTCAATTTTCAGTCTTTCACTGCTTTGTTCATCTGTCTTTCCTTCCTAGCTGTCCCTAAAAACAGATTTCCTCTTCTGAGCTGACCTGCTTGTGTGCTCATTTTCCTTGTCCTGAATTTTTCCCAACAGTTTTAAAAAAAGAAGAGGACTGTCCTGACTCTTGTGCTATAAGTAAGCACCGTGCTGAATGTGAAGAGTGTGGTGGCCTGGGAGTGCTAACAGGAAGATGCCAGTGGAGGCAGGGGAGTGGGAAAGGTATGTTTGTGTTGTGTCAAGTCATCTTCTGTTTGGTTGTAATTGTGCCTTTGAGTTCTATAGATACAAACTGATTTATTCTGGCTGGAAAACATGGTATGGTGAACTACATAGAAGCTGGGGCTAAAAAAAATAATCATAATACCTATATGAAGTATGCACTAAAAAGGAAAATGAGGTGAAGTTGGAAGGGCCATTCTTCATCTTGTCCCTGGTGATGCTGAACATGGTAAATAAACCAGCTGGAAGTGAACTGAGCTTGCAGCAGTGTGGCTGGAGCAGGTGCTGAGCAGGTGCACCCAGCAGACAGTGAGCACAAAGCAGTGTCTCTTTCTGTGCTCTGGAGCACAGATCTGATGGGTGACAGCACTCGACTCTTGCAGAACAATGACTGTGTGTCGGTGCTTGATCCCTTCTATCTGCCTAAGTGTCATACATTCTCTACAACCTCTTGTAACCCTCTTATTCAAGTGGGTGAAATTGTGTAGAGAAATCCTCAGATGTGAAAGCTGCTTTTCAGTCTCAGAGTGGTCAGCCAGCTCTTTTTCAAGCAGTATTCACAGTAACTGCAAGTGACATGACCAGAGGACTGTCAAAAGCAGAAAAGATAGCAAAAAATGGTTTCTTCCATTTGCCTTTATTTGTTGTCTTGCCTGTTACTTTAGCAGGTGTTTGTAGTCATAAATGTTCATTTTAAAAGGCACCATAACCTGTGGTTTGGAGTGTTAGTGTGCCCTGAGAAGATACAATGAACTTTCCTTCCTTGTGGTATTAGTGCAGCTGTTTCTCTGTTAACAGGGATCACCACAAACTACTCCACGTGCACCCCAAGCATCAAGACGTGTCCAGATGGCATCTGTGATGTGGTGGAGGGCAGAGACCCGGCTGTGTGTCCCCAAGACTGCACAAGTAGGGAATGTTTTATCATGGGCTTTTCTGTTACACCTCTGATTGCTTCTCAAATGTCACTTTCCCAAGTGTAGATCCTTCTACAGGCTCAGCATCTCTGCACTGTCACACTTGAATTTGAAACATACAATTGAGTTAAGGTTATGGGGATTAATCTTGACCTTTTTTGAGCCAGGCAGGTGACACCCACTGGCTGACTGATGAAGGGGTAGGCTGTTCTCAGCAATGCCCTTTCTCCTGCCTGTTCATTCACAGGTGGTGATTTTCAGTGCAGGTACTGAAGAGGTTCAGGTTCTAGGCACATTAATGCCCCACTTCCTAGCTCAGGTACAGTATGACAGGAACCAGCCTATTTGAGCTCCTGGGTAAATAAGTGAGAAGGAACAAATTTGTATTTAAAATAAATTTGTCTACAAAAGATCATCTGGGGAAATGTAGCTGCCCTTTTTAGACAGGTGGCCATCAGAATGAATCAATGCCTTACCTATTTGAAAATCCAGACAGATACTCATATGAGCAGAATTTATGAAGGAGGAATTTAAATGCATTTGTGTTGGATCTTTTTACTTGACCATAAATTTCTATACTCCACTCGTGAATACCTGCAAGTTCACAATTCATTCTGAAGATAAACAGGGTAGAAAAAACAGTGTAATTTTCTTGAGCCATTTCCATCTTCTGAGAAATGATAATTTTTAAGTGGATCTTTTTATCTGACAGTCTAATTCAGGAATAAAGACACATGTTTCTTGAATGCTGCTTCTGACTCTGACATCATATACTTCAAGCTGAGATTTTAAAATGGAGTCTTGGAAGAACTAGCATTTTCTTAAAGCCTGGAACTTAATGTTCTTCTATAAAATTAATTATTGAAGAGGCCTCTTAGTATTTCTTACATGGAAGAACGGATTGTGTATTGTAAATTAGTGTTATCAGAAAGATAATTATTTCATCAGAGTGTATAAAAACAATGCTTTAAGTGGGAGAAATGCTTGAAGGAAATGCAAGTAACTTCTCTAATCATCTGAAAAGAATTCTTTATTGGTAATAATAGTTTGTCATTTTGAAAGTGGAAATATTTTTGCCAGGGGCTGCGTTACTAAAATATATACAACATATGCATCATCAAATGTTTTGCTCAAAAGAAATATTGTCTTTCTGGATAATAAGCAGGCGAGTAAGACAAGTTTTCAGGATGTTATGCAAGCCCTTTTAACGCCTAAGCTGACTAATTGTGTACATGACTTGACACAATTGAGAACCTGGGCTGATGCCCAAAAGCAGTATACTTGCAGACAAAAAAATGAGTTTGTTCTGGGAGCTCAGAGCTGCAGGACTACCATTTTATCAGCTTTTACTGGCAGGGGACATTCCTTTGGAAATGGCAAACAATAAATAGGCCAAAATGTGTTAAGATCAAGGATATTCTTTAGGTTGTGAAAATACTTATTTCTGTAATTCATTTGTCATTATGATGGCTGTGTCCTTGAGTCCCAAAATTGCTTTCTCACAGTAACACTATGAATATTACATTCAAGGGCACTCAACTGAAGCAGCTGGTGCTGTGGCTGTGCCTATCACTTAGAGGCAACCTAATTGCATTCTTAGCAAGAGACTTTCATGTAGTAAGCAACTGCTCAAGAACAGGTTAGGTAGGACTGGCTCATTCCCTGCTTCCATCTGCTTCCAGGTTTTCAAATATAGGCAGGTATAGATAAATGCATACAATTTTCTGTGGCAAATGGAAACTTTATTTCATCACCTCTTCATGATGGAGGAAGTTGGCTGGGGAGGGGCAGGGAGGATAATGAGGGATTTTTGGGAACGCCAGTGCTTTTAAGTGTCAGTTCAGAGGGCGGTGACTCAGCAGAGTCTCTTCCAAAATTAACCACCTGAGCTGCCTCTAAAATGCTCTTTGTGATAAAGGCAGTGTAGAGATAAAAATGTCCCTGCTAATCGTCATTTTTATAACTTATACAGAAAAAATTATTTACTTGGGAATACAGTTGTTGTTACTCTGCCTGAAGAACTACTTGAAATCAAGTAGTTCTTCAGGCAGAGCTTCTGCAATTCTTTTACTAATATTAAATAATGCATTTTTAGATAGTGCAGTTCATTTTTTTATCACTTGCACTAGGCATTTATTCTTAGTGCTTTGACTAGACTGTCCTGTGGCATTTTGCAGAGGTAGGTAAGTGTTATCTCCATGTCACAGTGGAACCAATGATACCTAGAACTGACTTTTCCAAGGTGTGGGGAAATCGGCATCAGAAGCAGGAACAGAACTCAGTAACAGCTAATGAGGACTGATGTTTAAACAGTGCAAGGTCCTCCCATTTCAGGATCTCTGAAATTTCTTAATTTAGAGTCTTCCATATCCCTTAGGAGTTCCTGTCATTATCCCTGCACTGTGCTCCCTGGTTCACTTTCAGATTCGTACTGGGGTAAACCCATGGAAAACTGAGGCTTTTCTTTTCCCTTTACCCACATGTAAGAATCTTAGTCTGTTGTCTGTATTTGATTAGGTGGAAACATTATTGGTGGCCATGGGAAAGGCATTGGAAATCTTGGAATTAAGGCAGGACATGGGATTTGTTACTGCTTCCCAAGACAGAACTGTTATTGTGAGAAAGATGATATCAAAGGTAAGTCTAGCTGCTGTTCTGGTTGTAATCTTTTTCTTTGTATGCATCCTGTGTACATATAGAACTCTCTACACTTGCGGCCATGTTAATAAGCCATGTCTTTGGTCAGAGACTGCTAATAGAAAACTAGTGAGGAACTGGCACCTTGGCATCCACTATGGACCCTGAAAATTTCCAGAATGTGTTATTTATAGCCATGGCTAAGGATTCATTTTTATTCATTGCTACTTGACAAACAAGTCGGTCATCCTTTGATTTCCAGCAGCATTTGCATTTCAGTGAGGCTTACCTGATATTTGCAGAGGCAGCTAGGAGAATTGGAATAATGATTTCTATTACTTTCAAGTAATTCCAGCTTCCTGATAATTTCTTAAAAATCTCAGCTTCAAAATGTCAGAGATAACCATCACCCATGGTGTCAGGAGGAGTGCATTATTTTTTTCCTTGACCTTTCTGTGCAGTTGTTTGAAACAGATAATGGATATTTTAAATCATTTTTATTTTGCCTCATAATAAACATAGCACGAAATAGTTTACATCTTTAAAACTGAATTATTATGCAGAAGTAGGCCACAAGGAAAGTTCTAAGAAGCTCTTTTTGGTCTGCAGAGCAACTGTGTGATGACGTGTGCAAGACCGTGATCACAGGGGCAGTGGTGCTGTGCTTTGTCATCTCGGTGCTGGTTTCCTTCTACTGCATCCACCGGTACCACAAGAACTCCCCGAAGGCGCCCATCGCCTCGGCCGAGATGACGTTCCGGCGCCCCGCGCAGTCCTACCCCATCAGCTACTCCTCCAGCAACGTGCGCCGCCCCTCCCTGGACTCCATGGAGAACCAGGTGGCTGTGGACGCCTTCAAAATACCTGTAAGCCTGACAGTGCCGTTTGGCATGCTCTGTTTTGGTGTCAGCCTTGTTTGTGCATGCAGATGGTGTTGCAGGCATGCAGTCCATTCATGGAATCACCCATTACCTTCAAATAGCAGCGCTGGAAATCATGTGCATGAAGATACTTCATGAGTAATTGGATAAACATTTCAGTTTGCTGTGTAAGACCAGTACATTCTTCCTTTTTTATTATGCTTTAATACAGTGTAACATTTTAGGTTAATTTAAGTCAATGATTTTCACTGATGTAACTGAATCTGACAGTACTGTGGTTTTACTTTTAGCACTGTCCACTTAAGCACTAACCATCTAACTCTCTATGATGTGCCAAAGTACTACAACAAGGCTAAGTTTTAACATTACAGAAAAATCCCTCCTGAGATCACTTCCTGATTTCTGATATACACATTGTAGATATCAGTTGGTGTGGGAGTTTTGCCCACATTTAAAGACTTTTGCCCAGTCATGCTGTCATACCTTTACTCTACTTTGTCCTGCTTTAAATCACACACTATCCAGGATTTCTGTGAGATGGGGTGTTTTCATGAGCCAGCATGGTAGAGAAACACTGCTGCTTTATATGGCAGCATCAGATATATTTGAGTGTTAGGTAGTGAGGTTTTCACAGACCTTGTGCTTTGTTTGCTTTAGTTTCTTGTCCGGTTTGTACATTTGTCATAATTTTGCAACCTTAGAGCTTATTAGCACAAATTTTATAAGGAGATGATTGTTGTCTCTGATCAGTTCTTCAGGGAAAACCTTATTCTGTGAGTAAAACTTCTCCATGAAAGTCACATGTTCAAAGTTACTCTGAAGGCAAGGATTTATCCTGTATCACTTCATTTTTCATTTGTACCCAATTTCCCAGATCTGTAAATATAATCCATTCTCCATAGACTACCTGTACAGCCTGTTTTGAAGGTTTTCAGGTAAAGGAAAAGAGATTTGCAAAATACCTTGATACCCAGAAGCTTTTATAAGAACTCACTGATAAAAAGAGCAACCAAAGACTGCACACTCAAGTGCACCTATTCCTGGGAATATCCTCTCCTTTCCTTGCTTCATCTCACAGGGTTTCTTTTCTCTCCTGCAGGAAGATCCAAAGTGGGAATTCCCTCGGAAGAACCTAGTTCTGGGCAAGACTCTTGGAGAAGGAGAATTTGGAAAGGTCGTCAAGGCGACAGCGTTCCGGCTTAAGGGAAGGGCTGGCTATACCACTGTGGCAGTGAAAATGCTGAAAGGTACCTTCCCATCGGGGCTTTTGAAATTGTTTGCAAACTATTTGAGATAGTTTGCAAACCTCTGCATAGATTTGAAGAGAGGCTTGTGTGAAAGCAAAAGGTCAGCTAAAAACCCAGCAGTGCCACAGCCTCTCTTTCTTCCAGCATTCTGATGCATTCTGACAGTCACAATCTGCAGATCTGTGACTTTAGCAGTTAGCATCACATTGATCCAAGTAAGTAATTCTAAATCATGATCTGCAAGGAGCCTCTGTCTTAACATAGCAAATGTATTCAATTCTGTTTGGCATTGATGGGAATATTGCAAGGGTTTGTTAAAGCTTTCTGAGTCTTTTCCTCTATCCAGTTTCCTTGGACAAAGCTTTTTAAATAAATCATGTGATAATCATATGAAGAGACAGAACAGACCTGTTAACTTACTCTCCTGATTTAGAGTTCTGTCTAGTTTTTTGCTTTCTCATCTGCTTTTCAATCACTAGGAGCTCTGTCAAAATGGCTTGAATAACCCAGTGCTGTCTCCTGCTGTTTTCAGTTTACCCTAAGACTTTAAACCTGGGGGGAACAAAGTATGCCTAGATAATGTTAAGATGATAATGTGAGACCTTGCACTGAACCATTCAGTGCTGCTTGCGAGTAAAATCATGTCATTACAGGAAAATGTTATTCTTCTCATTTCCATTCTGCTACATTCAAAGCACATTTGCCACTCCTTGAGAGGAAAGATGTGCAAATCCCACCCCTTTACCTAAGAAGTAAATGCATTATGAAGTGAATGCCTTCACTGCTAGAGGTGTAGGTCGCATGGAGGAAGTTTAGGAACTAGGATTTTTCAGAAGTGAAGATTATTTAACTCTTACTTGTAATACTGAAGTAATGACCTGCATTGTATTATGTTGTCAGTACAATAGTCACTACTTCATCTCATGTTTATTTGTGCACTTAGTGACACTGCTTTTTCTAGCACATTTTCATCAACATGTGACTCAGTTAAGATTCTAAGACATAGTGGTAAAAATGTTGCTTTTACTTGCAGATGGTTTGACATTCAGTTTTCCCTATCTATTATGAAGGACAGAATTGACTCAATTGACAATGTGAAGGAGTAGACCTTTATTTTAAGCACCTTATTTTAATAAATTGATCTGACATTTACAGTAATACTTCAGGCTCTAATGAATCCCTCTGTAATGTAAATTAAATTGCAGATAGTCACCTGAAATTTTATTTTCCAGCTTGACTGTGAAGAGCATTTGTCATTCTGCAAATATTTGTGTGCTATTATTGGCTTAACTTTACTGTTCACACATGACAATTGAAGCATAAGGACCAGTGCATTAGCTTCAGTGGCCTTTGCAGTGCTGCCAGGAAGGACAAAGGGCAGTTATTTTGGATCAGGCCAGCACCACCCATTCTTTCCCTGTACCAGATGCAGAACAGGTCATTTGTCAAAGTGTTTGGGGCTGTTATACACTGAGTGATCTTTAAAGGGCAGTGCTGGGCACACCAGAATGTTACTGCCTCTTATTGCAGGAAAGAGCTCTCCTGCCTGAGCTGGGTAGATGGGCACAATCTGAGTAAGAACAGAGCAGGGCAGGACTCTCCCTACTGTGGCAACTTGGTGTTAGGTACCGTGGAGGGAACAGGGAGCAATGGGCTAAGCCAAAATAGTCTTGGAGCTGTGGATGGAGGTTTAAAGGAACAGATGAGTACTTTTTTTTCAGCCCATTATTACCACTTTTCTCATATTAATTAAATTTTACCTCCTACGTGATATGAATACCCTCATTACAATAAAATTAAAGGGGAAAACACCAAACAATGCATAAATACAAATTATTCACAGTTTTGTTAAAATGAATGACCTAAAGCTTTAGAGCTAAATGTCTCCATTTGAAGTTAGTTTTCTTTGATAGACAAACAGGCATGGTACTTTATTAACTTTGTTCTGTTCTGTTTGTTCACATCATAGAGCTCCAGAACTACAAAAATAGGACTTTTCTAACAGGCATTAAGTTGACATTCTTGATTTTTGTCTTCTATAAATCTGTGCTTTTTGTAGTCTTTATCAGTAGTGAGAGACCAGCTGATACTGTTCTCCCTGCAGTAGACGATTCTCTATTCTGAGTGCAGATTCTGACTACAAGATAATATAAGGCAGATACAAATGTGTAGTTCTGATACAAACATAACAGTAGAGCAGAATGACTGTTTTCATAAGGAGGTCAAACTGGTTACACATGAATAGGCAAATAAATCCTTTGGTGCTCACAGCCTTTATGAAAAAAGCACACAGTACAGTACCAAAGAGCAGAAGCCAAACTTGTTTTTATTATCCTTAAATCAGGATGAACACATCCTTGTCAATGCCCAATAATGACACTTGAGGAACTGTCCAGGCTGGTTCTGTGTGTCAGAGAGATTAAGGATGAGGAAGAGGAAGGTTTATATCTGACCTATAGTGTCTCTATGACTAGGGATCTCTTTCAAGCCCCAGTGCCCTCAAAGAGGAAGCTTGTCAGTCTGAAGAATTCTGCAAAAAGGCAAAGCACTTGAAAGGCTAAGAAAGCCTGTTTTGCCATATGTTGCCACATGATTCTCACTGACATCAGTGAAGTCTGCATACGTGTCCCACAGTAAAATCAGTTTGTACTGTACATTTAGCTTCTGAACTCTAAATCTGGATGTATGCTACAAGAGTAAGCAGTAGATTAGTGGTTTTTTACTGTTTTGGAAAATGTATTTAGGAGAAGGAGTGAGTCAGTCTATTTTTGTTTGATAAGTGTGAGAGCTTGGCTTTCATGGGCTTCTGAAGCTTTTATTGCACTGATTCACCCTAAGAAGTTGCTTTATAACACCAGAAAAGTTCTGTAATAATTTCATGGCATCTTTAAGCCATTACAGACTCTGCTCCTGATTCCTGCCTGACCTCCTTGTTCTGCAGTCCCTAGTACCAGAGCCTAAGAGCAGGCTGCTACCAAGCCAGAGCAGCAGCAGCCACACTCACTTGGTTCTGATGTGAATGGCTGCAGGACACCAGAGGTGGGGAAATTTCTCTCCTGTGGGGAAGTATGGAGTTTTCCAACCTCTGGCTAGCTCTGGGAGAGATAGTAGATCTCAAATTTCACACTGTACACAGAGAACTCTTGAGTGATGCTTTCCTAACCAAAACTGTGTGTTTGGTCACTTTCTGCAGAAAACGCTTCCCAGAGTGAGCTGCGAGATCTCCTTTCAGAGTTCAACCTTCTGAAACAAGTCAACCATCCTCATGTCATCAAACTTTATGGAGCCTGCAGTCAAGATGGTAAATACTAAGAGCTTGTTACGAAGATGGAACCATCCAGAAAGGAAATGAAATGCAGTTTGTTGCTGTATTTCAACCACTGCTTAATAATTGCTGAGCATACTTTAAATTTGCTATTGGATGAAAAAATATTTAAAACATTTAAAAAACATTATTTAAAATATTAAATTATATTGAATTAATACAGTATTAAAAGTATTAAAATACCAATACTTGAAAGAAGAGGGAAATACTAATTCATTGTAACTAAGCATTCTTCCTGGGGTTTTCCTCAGTGCACATTTCGATTCTGAAGCTGTTTAAATTTTAAAATTAACAAGTCTCCTACAAACTCTCTTCCAACCAATATATATTTTTATGTCACTGTTAATAATCACTGTTTTCAAATATGAGTTATATTTCAAGTTTGAGTTTTCGTTATTCTTGTTATTATTTATACTAAAGCAGTGTAAGTAGACAACTACAAAGATAGCTGGATAGTTAGGTTGATCTTCAGTTTTGTTCCACTGTCTCAAAACTGTTCACTCTGGTTATGAAATGGTTTCTAAAAGTGATAGTCATCAACAAGGGGTAAAATCTTCAGACACATGTATTATAAATTGCCAATGAAGCAAATTTTGTTGTGCATAGGAATCGCTCATTTTAAGTGAAGAGGCATGGCAGCAATTCTCTTCCTTTTGCATCTGCAGTTGTGCAGCCTAAAAATCACAGCATGGATTCTGCAACCTTGGGCAAAGGCCTGCCTTCTTTGCCCACCCAGTTCTGTTGCAAATATCACTTTTTAGTTGTAGACAGAGAATTAAATTCAGGAGTGAGTCATCTCTGAGTCTTAGTAAGGTAATGAGCCAGTGGGGCTGGTTAGTTTTTTTTCTTTTCAGTACAATGTATTTTTTATCCCAGAGGAAGTGAAATGTTACTGAGTCACAGGCTTTTAATAAATATCAAGTTAATTCATCAGTGTATGAGGTAGGAGGGCTTTGATAGAGCACAGAAATGTATTTATCATTAGGTAGATATTATTGAGTAGGTATTATTCATGTGGGTAATGGGGAGGAGAAATTAATAGGTTGTAATGGCAGAATGTTTCGTAGTGCTATCAAAAGGCACCTTAAACACAGTGCTGGAATTAGCATATTATTTGAGCTCAGTATCACAAGCTCAAGAAGATTATTTTAATTTTAAAGTTTTCTAAGTTAGCCTGTTTCACAGATCTAATTTGTCTGAAGGTTGTCTGGTTTTTCGGTCTCAGATTATCTAGATGAGGGATTATAGGCAAGAGCCAGCATTCTGCTTTGATTTAGCCTGAAACTCATTCTCTTTGCATTGAGGATCTAAGGAAAAACATTCTTATTTCATGGCTGACTCAGTGTTTTTTACATAAAGGGCAGAGGTGTCTGGACCTTCTGACAGTTCAAAACAATGTGCTGACTAGAGGAGACTTGTTTGAGACGACCCCTAAAATGGTTATCTATGAATTGTTTAGTGACCTGTGTGTTTGTTTATTTCAGGCCCACTGTATTTAATTGTGGAATATGCCAAATACGGCTCCTTGCGCAGTTTCCTCAGGGAAAGTAGGAAAGTTGGCCCCAGCTACGTGGGCAGTGATGGCAACAGGAATTCCAGTTATTTGGATAACCCTGACGAGAGAGCCTTGACCATGGGAGACCTGATCTCGTTTGCATGGCAGATATCCCGGGGGATGCAGTACCTCGCAGAAATGAAGGTAGGGCAGCCAGGGCTCATCTCAGCGTGTGATAGACGTGGAGCAAGCAGCTGGTTCCTCCACAACAAGCATGAACTCTCCTGTTGTTTCCTTCCAAAAGCTTGTGCATCGGGATTTAGCAGCCAGGAACGTCTTGGTGGCAGAAGGGCGCAAAATGAAGATTTCGGATTTTGGCCTCTCACGTGATGTGTATGAAGAAGATTCCTATGTAAAGAGGAGCAAGGTACAGTGTGTGTTAAAAGCAGTAGTGGAAATTATTGCCTGATCAAGGAGGTTAATTTATACTGTATGGGACTTGGGTATGGATGAAAAGGAGAATGGCTGGTTTTATAAATGTAAGATAATTATTTTAAGAAATAAAAATGACAATGAAGCAAAAGCATGAGCTTAACCAGTGGGATAGAAATACACACACACACATATATATGTAAAATATGTATCATCTTTAAGTAACTATTACCTCTTCACTTCTTGTTTATCCAGTCTTCTCATTCCACTCCTTATTTATCCAGTTCCTCATCAAACTATATGAGAACACAAACAAAAAGCACCTTTTTTTTCTTTCTCTCTTCCTATTTATAATTTAAAATATACACTAAAAATACTGAAGAGCTGAAAAATATATAGACAATTTATATCAAGTTCCACACAACTTCCACAAGTCAGTCCTGGGCTAGACTGTGATGTTTGTGAACACAGCTTCCCACTGACTGTGTCAAATAAGCAGTGGCGGTTCAGTTCCCTGTGTGGCTTAATATGAAGGAGCTGCCAGCAGGATTTTTTTGCATGTGAAAATGTTAAAATTTTATGAGAAGATTTCCATAAATACCATGAATTTTTAGTTTAGCTTTCTCTGTTTTTAAGGGCCAGTTTGTGTGAATGTTGCGTAAGTCAGAATGAGTTGTGAAGGAAAAAAAAAAACTTCTAGAAGTCATGATTTTATGTAAAAGGCCGCTGCCATGTTCATTTCGCTATCTTCTGATGGATGTGTTTTTACAATGATTTATACCAGTTGCTCTGTATTTTAAGAGTAAAACATTTGCATCAAGGCAGTTTGGCAGTTTAGTTTTGTTTGGTGGGGCATGAGGTACTGAGTGGATATTTGTTTTTTACTTTTGAGACACTCATCACTGTAGTATTATTCAGATCCTAACAAGCATCTGTCTGCTTGGATGGGGAGACAGGGGAAAGAAGAATTTGAGAAGGAAGAGGAAGTTTCAAATCCTCCTGAAATACTATATATATGGATTTCATGAGAATGAGAAGGCATATGAATGCTAATCATACTGGGAAGGTTATGAAACAGCTTGGAAATTTTGCATACCTAGATTTTCATGAATATTTGGGGTGGATTACTCAGATTTTTCTCAGTGAATTTCTGCCAGTGAAAAATAGCAACTTGTAGATTCCACTAAGAAACTGGTAACCAAGTATGACTGTCCAGGTTCAGTTCTGAAACCAGAGGTATCTGTAACATCCAGGTGCTTCTATTTATGCATCGTCCCTGGTGTAAATGAGATAGTTCTTCCTCTTTAACCATCATTCCTCATTATTTTTGCATCTGCACATTTTCAGAGCTGTTTATTAAGAGAAGAGTTGAGTTTATCTGACTTAAACTGGTGACCACCTGCAAAAGGCCACACCAGCTTATTGCACGTAATTAGATTGCTGGTGTAAAAAGACATGAACTAGTTTTTTAAAAGACACTTAAAATTACTATTCTCACTGTTCTTCTTACAGAATGGCAAATCATAGGTGCACTGGCAAGTGCTGTAGTATGGACAGACTTGTTTTACTATTTTGAGGATAAATACCCTGTTTTTTCACTTGGAAACTTATTTTTCTCACCATGACTGCTTCTTTACCTCCTAGGGTCGAATCCCTGTGAAATGGATGGCCATAGAGTCACTGTTTGACCATATCTACACAACACAAAGTGATGTGTAAGTGAACTCCTGAATACTTTCTGGTTTGTGTGCTTGTTTGTGGAGCTGGGGGAGGGAGCACAGCAAGGTGTGTAGGAGCCAAACCATTACTCTTGCAAAGAAACATGAGAGAAGTCTGGATGGCACCATCAACTGGCAGTGATGCCCAAGATTTTTGCTGTTGAATTAAATCTGAATAAAATATTATTAGAGGTATTTATGTACATAATTCTTGTTGAAATGAGCAAGGGTTGATCTGTTCATGTGACATGTTTGACTTTGAATATAGACACGAATAAGTAGAGTTTGCTACAGGTAATGGTCATACCTGAACTCAGTTCTGTTCATCATTTGTCTGTAACACAAAGTGGCAGGTGAGGGATGGAGTGGAAGAAGGAAGGGGAATTTAATACCTGAGCTCTGTTCCTGTTGAAATCAATGACAGAACTCCAGTCAACTCTGTCCAGTTTCAGTGCCAAGATATAAGCTTATTTTCAGGATTAGGGAAACAGAAACCCTGAAGGTGGATATGCTGGAATCTCCACCTGTGATGAAGAGGAGGCAAAGCAACCACAGCTAAATTATCCCCATGTCTGATAAGCGTGGGCCAGGCAGAGGAGTGTTTGTAGACATTTTCAATTCAGGATCAGATACCTTTCATTTCTTTCTCTCTGGAGTGAATGATGCTTGTGACTACTCACCAGGCAGACTCTAAAGCTAAAGATTATTTATTTAGGAGAAAAACCTCTGAAGGACTGTAAAAGCAGAAGTACATAGGCCTGATTTTCTGCTAGGTAGCATCTTGATACCTCCTAGGTTTGCCGTTACACTCAAATGGAGTAAAACGCCAATTTGGGTCATGTTGCACTTTGAGGGGAAAAACACTTTGATAATAGCAGGATGTCAGAACATGTACCTTTGGATTTGTATTTCTAAAATTATTACTATTCACTTTTACTCTTCTCTCTGCAGGTCAGAGCAGTTTTAGTGAAATAAAATATTTTGCATGCCTTTGCAATTCCTTACAAAATGAATTTCCAAAGTATTTTCCTTAACTTTTTATCCATTGGAGTAAGAAAAAAAAAAATAGAGATAATTCTTGGGAGAATGTCACTTAGGTCAGTGTACAGGTTTTTCTGGGTCTCTTTTTATCCTCCTCAGAGCACCCGTTGTGCTGACTTGCTTCTCTAAAATTACTTCTCCCAAAGAATCATTAAAATTCCTTTTAAAACTTCTAAGCATATTTTTAATTTCTTCATTTTTGTCACTATGGTTTGGGGCAGAACAGATTGTGTTGTCATGTAACTGCCTCTTTTTTGATTGCTGATTGATCATCTGGATCCAGTAGCATTCCTCTCATTCCTTTTTCCTGGTGGGTGCTATTAAATTGGCCCGGGAGCGTGTTTGCTGTCAGTGGGATCCAGCACCATGCAGAGATTGCCCAGCTGGCATCAAACAGGCCAGCTCAGAGCTCTGGGCAGCACAATGTGCTGGTGCTGTGTCACTTCCCTGCCTCCCAGGGCTGCCTGAGCATCTCCATGCAGAGCTGTGCTGGCTGCCCAGCTTCCCTGGGGCTGCCTCAGGAGCACAGCATTGTGCCATGCACCTCTGCTCACCTCTGCTGTGTCAGTGTACGTGGAATAAGCCAGGAGTGCTGTACAGCAGCTCCTAACTTAGCCAGGTTCCTGCAGAGCTGCAGAGCTGCAGAGCAACTCCTCTCCAGCACCAGGTTCCACGGTGACATTTCAGCAGCAGACTGATCAATGAAGTACTCCTTTTGCTTTGTTGTTACTTCAGATAATTTCACTCACTGAAAGTATTATCTTATGGATGTTCTCTGCTGTTTGTGGTGGTGCAGTTATATTTTAGGTGAACATATTACCCCTCAACCATTCCAATATTCTATTTTTTTCTGATACTCTGTTTCTGTTTTCCACCCTTTTCCTTCTCAAGCTGTTCTGTATAGTTAGTGGTTAGCAGAGTTTAATAACAGGACTACTTGCCAGCCTGTACAAAAACCCTATTTTTGCTTCAGAGGTCTATGACATCAATGGAAAGCTAACCTACTATCTTCCTCTTCACATACTTTTCTTTCCTGGATTTTTGTGATAATGCTTTTATTTTGCAATAAACATAATACAGTGGGAAATTCTTCATCCCTCATTTCTCCTCCTGTAGTACTTAATGTGTATAACAGTCTGAAAATACTGCAGCATTCTACAGCATTCTATTCTAATATGTTCACTTACTGAACAACTTCAGTTAAGAAATTGTTCATATGATCCCTCCTTCCATAGTCTGTAAAATTCCTCCGAAGCAGAAGTGGATTTTAGAAATAAAACCTGCCATGCTCCAAAGTTTATTTGAATTAATCATGGACAGAATTGTAACCTGATGGCAGAGCATAATTGGCTTCAAAAATGGTATGAGGAGAAATATTAATAAAGTATATGAAAATGCTGTAAATATTCATAAGCTTTCAAGAATGTGCAGAGTGATTAAAAATTTATTCAGCGAATGGCATTAGGCAGAAGAATGGCAGCATATCACTTGAGACCATGTGAGAGTCACTTTGACTTCTCTGACAATTTGGGAAGTTTTATTGCTGTATCTTTGGGGTACTTTTGTTCTTTAAAATGAGAGAAGTGCAGGTAGAAGGGAGTCAGACAGGAGGTGAGGTATTTGGCTAACATTTTGAGATGGAATTTTCATAGGGAATTAGACATGGCTGTTTGGTTTGGCAGTAGGTGTCTAACACTTCCTGAAATTTTCTTAAAAATGGAGTTTACAGAGAAATTGCCCAAAGCCAGCATTTTAATAAATTGTATGCAATTTTGCTTCCAGATGCATCCCATTGCGCAGCCCCAGTGTTGGCTGGTTTCCTTCCTTTCAAACATCCAGATTTTGTCAGTCATCAGTTGAGCAGATTTCAGGGTGATTTGTAGCTTCTTTGTGTCTCAAAATGCCTTTCAGTTAGAAAAGAAAAACATTTTTGCCTCTTTTCTCCTGGCTTGCTCTCCAGAAATGGACTAATTTATCTAAATATTTCTCACCCATTATGCAAGGTCTTTTTGTTTGAACTCAGCAGTAAAGTAGGTTTAAAAATTCACTATTTCTTCTGTTCATTTCAGAAAATTGTTTCTTCTGTTCTGTGTCAAAGTTCATTTTAGGCATTTGGTATTTCCAGAGGAAATTCTTTCCTCCTCTTTCATCAACTCTAAGAAGAAAATTAAGTCCCGAGTCACTGAAATGGCCCAAGAGACCAGCTGACATCAAAGGTGTTACTTGTGATTTAAATAAACACATTGTGTTGCCTCATAGTCAAGACCGCAAGCCAGTCCTGTGGTAACTCTCTAAATTTAATTTAGAGTTATTTCTGAATACAAGAGCTAATTAGGGAGGTTAGACTGCTGCAGGAGCCCTGTGCAGCAGAGGAACAAGTCTTTGGTCTGGGCCACCAGAGGAAGGACTTCCTCTTGCTGCTGTCTAGAGAAGATGGATCTTCCCAGGGTATAATTAGCTTTTGTCAATGCATAAAAGAGGGGTATCTGTTTTCTCTCCTCTCTTGGTTGCTAACCTTTTCAATGCACATGGGAACAAGATGCACTGCTTGCATCTGAACAACTGCTCTGGCATGAGGTGTCTGGAATTTTGTTGGGTTCTGAAAATACTAAAAGGAGATTTGTTGTGTAAGTACACACTAAGCTCCTGAAACCTACCACTCTGTATAAAAGCTCATTTTGTCTTTTTCAGATGGTCATTTGGAGTTCTGCTATGGGAGATTGTTACTTTAGGAGGCAATCCTTACCCAGGTATTGCTCCTGAAAGACTCTTTAACCTCCTAAAAACAGGCTATAGAATGGAGAGACCAGAAAACTGCAGTGAAGAAATGTAAGTAACTCTTGATCTGATTAGATTCAGAAAACATTAATAAATATACTTGATGAAAAAGGTTTAAATAAATACCTCATAAATACTATTCTGTGTTTCTTAGAGATATAGTCAAATTGTGTTTTGCTTAAAGAATGTCATGAAATTAATGGACAGTAAAGCAAGGGGAAAAAATTGCCCACAGAATGCCTACAGCTATATCCAAAACATTTGTAGGGTATTGAATAACATGCTTGCCAAACAATTAAAAGAGTTTGTGCATTCAAAACTTCTGAGGGTAGAGGAAGGAGGAAGCTTGCATAAAACACAGTGGTAGCTGAAATATTCAAGAAAATGTCATAGTACTTTCTGCAACTAAAACGGATATTGCATGCACAGTCATTGTCTATAAGTTTCCAGAGGAAAAATGGTACCTTGGCCCAGAAATCTACACCCTTGAAGATAAAGATTTTCTGTGATTTGACAAGCCAGTGGCTTTGGAGACAGTTCATAATTTTTTAGCTGATTTATTAAAACACAGTCAACATGAAGTATCTTTTGTCTGTGATCTTCCATGGCATTTGGAGATGAGGTGTGATTTTATGTTCAGCCTGCAAATTTGATCATGGCTGTGGTATTTTGAAAGTTCCCAAGCTTTAAACATTGTGACCACTCCTTTGACTGATTTTCAGTTGGAAGGATGCTTTGACCACATCTGGGCTGAGAAAAAAAGGTTTAAATAAATAATAGTATAAATAATAGGTTTTTTAACATACAGAGAAAAACATTAAGTATTTCCAAATTTAGAGCAGGGTAGCAGTTTACAAGAATGGTTGGCAACTATCATCTCAGAAATGTATAATACTAATCTTTGTTTCATCTCAGTGAGGAGTACTCATTCCACAAACATTTTATGTCATTGATAATTATTAGTTTAGGCAAACTGACCACATCTGAATTTCTGGGATTTTTTACTTGAAACTAAATCATGGTTTTCTGAGTTTTAAGATTTTATTCTGTTTTACTCAGAAATTTTTCTGACAGCTTGTGAAAGCCCACTTTAAGGACCAATTTTCTCAAATTCCGTTCTCTCCTATACACAGTCAAGTATGAGAAGGATCATGGATGAAGGCATAAAATGCAGTGCTTTTCAATAGCTTCCTGTAGTTCTCATAACCCACTGTTTCCACCATTAGAGCACTTATGGGGACAGATCCCTCAGTCCTGAGAACAGCTGAGCTAGAAAAACGACATGAATGGCACAGGTTGGAGAGTCACGCTCCAGAACTTGCCCATGTCTGTGTGATAGTCATTCAACTATAAAACTTTAGTTCTGTTCTCTTTTCTTTCCAGAATCTATGCTATAGAAGGCAATTAAAGAGAGAATAAATATAGGTTTAATCAAAAGAACAATAATAGAAGTCATCAAAAGAACATTAGTTTCTAAAGATAGGCTAGGCAAACATTAGTTTCTGCAAAAAGTTACAGAAACTTAAGAATTCGAGCAAATGAAAACCAAAATTCTGCTTTTTGGTATAACAGCAGAGTTTTTCAGTTTGATACACGAATTTCTTCAGTGTCATATACAAAGTGAAGTAGCAGTCTGGCATGCTGCCCTACATTTGAGGTGGTCCCTTGAGAAAGTGAAACCTGAGACTACAGTCCTTCAAGGGCAGCCAAGTGCATCATCATTTAAACTCTTGGAGACTCTTGAAAATAAAAGCCCATTGTTGTGAGTGTCAGTTGTTAATTCCAGGGAATATTTAACAGTCCTCACAACAGAGATTGATGTACTTGGGTTGGCCTTCATGCCACAGTTAAGGTCAGTGCTGTAAATCATTAGAGCAGAAGCATGAGCCATTTCTAACAGTTTGGGGTTTTTTCCACCCTGTGACGGGTCCCAGGTACAGCCTCATGCTGCGCTGCTGGAAGCAAGAAGCTGATAAAAGACCAACATTTACTGAGATCAGCAAGGAACTAGAGAAGATGATGGTGAAGAGTAGGGTAAGTGTGGAAAGCATGGATTTTGAAAGTTTTTGTGGTCTTCTGAGTTTGAATGTACAGAAATAATTACTTTTAAATTTTATTTTAAGGTAAAGTAACTTATTTTCATCAAATCTTGAAGCATTTACATATCTAGTTCCTTCCACATGCAGGTAGCTTTTTGAAAGCAGTACTACCTCTTCTAACAGCTTTGGTGATTTCAGCCCAAAATGTGGATGGATTATCCTTAATCTGTTTTCTTTAAACAATAGGAATAATTTAAAAACTATTGTGAAAAGTTACTCCTAAATAAATAATGTTAGAGAGCCAGAACTAGAAGAATGTAGTATTTCATGCATTTTAAATTAGTTGAAAATACTTCGCATTCTTTTTTTTTTTTTGCTTCAAAGCAATTCAGCTACACAAAAACCAATGAATTCTTATCAGTGACCTAAATATTTAGTTTTAGAACAGCAATCAAAGCTTTATTTGGCGATATTTACATAGTTATTTTATGCATTGTTATGTAATAGCTTTTGTAAAATGATTATGAGGTCTGAGTACCTTGTCCTTTAAGCATGCATATGTATCTCCATATATATATATTTCAGGCATACATATGGATCAGGCATGCCAGCAGCTGAAGGTCAAACAAAGCAGTTAGGAAAGCTTCTCAGTTTGTTGTGCTGATGTGCAGAATTAAGTAGGGGAAGTATTCATATGTCTGTAGCAGGGGCAGTGTTGAGGCAAATCAGCTTCCAGAGCTGCTGTGGCTGCTGGAAAGCAGAGTCTGCTGAGGTGCCAGAGGTTCTAGAGGAAGGTGAATGCAGTGGGTCTACAGTTCCTTGCTGTAAAGAAAGCAGGTGCACATTTATGCTTGCTACCTGAACAGCAGCACTGCCACGTGCATTAATGCAGCTTCTTGTGTCCATTTCTCAGGACTACTTGGACCTTGCAGCTTCCACGCCCTCCGACTCCTTACTGTACGATGACGGGCTCTCCGAAGAGGAGACACCTCTCGTGGACTGTAATAATGCTCCCCTCCCTCGAACCCTCCCTTCCACATGGATTGAAAACAAACTCTATGGTAGAATTTCACATGCATTTACTAGATTCTAGCAACACACAAAAAAAAGTTGATTTTTCTTCTGCACTGTTCTCAGACTCTGTAACCCCATTACAGTGTTTCTTGTCTGAATGAAGCCAATCAAAAATTGCTTGGAAGCTTTTTTTGGGTTGTTTTTTTGTTTGTTTGTTTGTTTTTTCTTTTGGTAAATGTCAAAGTTTGCATCAGGATCATCCTTTAGTCATTTTGCAGCTGTGTCTAAAATAAACATTTTAAAAGGATGTGAAAATAAGTAAAATTACTAGATATCATACAGTAAAAGCAAAAAAAAAGATCAGGGAAGTATTCTCAGGGGAAATATAAAATGCTAATGAGTATCTAATTCAACTATCCTGTTGGGGGAGGCTACAACTTTAAAATATGTTAGATTCTGCACCTCTAATTTAAGCAATAGACTTTTTTTTAATACTGTTTTTTGCCATAACTCAGTGATAATATTCATCTGCAACATTTTTCATTTATTCAGAAGGATGTCTAAATTTCAGCTGCTATTAGTACATTTTGGATCTATAAGCTGAAATGTATGTAGTGTATCATAGGATGAAAACAGATTATTAAATACAGAAGGTAGAAATACTGTATATAAATATTATATACAGACTAAACTGACATGTAAAATCCTTTGAAAACTTAATTAACAATGGGCATTTTGAAAATATCAGCTGTTTTCACGTCCTTTGATTTGTTATGAACATGTTAGTACTAAACCTCAACTCAATGATGTAGCAAGTGTTTTTAAAAAGAACATATGCTTTCATATTGTGATGGTGAGATGGACAGTAAAAATGGTTCTTGCCAAAACTCCTATATTTTGTCTTCTGATTAAATATTCTACATGGTTTTAGATACTTACTAACATCAGATACTTTTTTCATTCTTCAAGCAGTATGACTTTTGAAAAGTTGGATCTTTTAGTTTAAAAGTTGCCATTAATACATGGCTTTGGGTCTATTTTTGATCTATACCTTAGCTATTATTTTCTTCATTAGGTTTTCTCAACTCATGTTGATTTTGGGGCACTTAGTGAAGTAGCAGAAAAAGTTGCCACAAGGTTGGTGGCAGATACTGAATGCTTAATAAGCAACAGAATCAGATTTCTGTTTTTGAAAATCTCAACCCTGCTATGGTTCTGTGCTTGCACAGCTGAATCAACATGGTGCTAAGCACTCTGCATCCATTTTGGTTATCACTTGTGCCTGAACACAGAAACAGTTACTGCACTCAATGCAAAGAATTACAGACCTGAAATACAACTTGAAATGCTGAATCAAGACAGGAGTGCTCAGCACTTTGTTGGACTTTACTCAGTTGCACTCCTGGGATTTCCTGAAATTAAGCAGAGTATCCCTGGTGGGGGTGTGAAAATGTCCCCAGAACCTCACTGAAGCCAAAGGAAAAGCAACCATTTAAGTAAATGGAAATATTCTATCATTGAAATGGACTTTGGATCCTGTCCCAAATAGGTTTATTAATTCTTGGAGCATTTCCTGTACAGCAAGAACTTTCTCTTGCAAAGCAATATATTGCTGCATGATTGTTAAATTATAAAATTATGGAAAGTTGGAGGCATATGAGAAGAACAATTCTTAACTTTTTATTATGCACATGTGCATGCATGCACACAATTTTTTATTGAGTAAGCACTTTAATTTATCCAGGTTTTTTGCCTGCATCTGAATTTCTGCTTCAGGGATTTCAAAACACCATTTATATGAATTGATTTGGGACAAAATCCAGTGGACTGGCTTAAAGTATTGAAGGGAGTTTTGCCAAGGGCCTTACTGTCTGCACATGAAGTTATGGTTCTTCAGTGCAGAAAAAATTATCTGTTTTCATTTTTAGGCATGTCATACCCGAACTGGCCTGAGGAGAGCCCCGTTCCACTCACAAGATTCGATGGCACTAACTCTGTGTTTTCAAGATATGCAAATGATAGTGTATATGCTAACTGGATGGTTTCACACTCAGCGGCAAAATTTATGGACAAGTTTGATAGCTAAAATTTTCTTTGTGAAAGGTAATGGACTCCTGAGGAAAGCAAGGAGGCAAAGAGTGGGAAGTCCATTGACTTGTTCTTTGTACAATCAACAACGAACTTTAAGATTGGCAAATCCTTTTATTGATAGTTTTTCAAGTGTGTTATTTATGCTGAAGACTATAATTGGCACTCTCCCCTTTCAGAAAACATATCAAGCTGAATAAGAGTTGTAGTTCTGGTACTTCTTTCTAAGTTGCCAGTTTGCATATGGTTCCATTTGGCAACTTCTTAGAGCAAATGGCCTTGCACTTCATCCTCAGTGGTTTTTAGACTAACCACCCTGTGTTACAGCATTCTGGGATGGTAAAATGTACTTGAACTGCTACTTTTATAGTGGCTGTTAGCATACAGCCACTTGATCTAAGCAGGAAGCACAAACAATATATAGAAGGGAGGAGGGAAAGAGGTTCCTAGATTACTGAACTTGCTATCAAATGTTAGAATGTTGGAGTGATGTTGGCACTAACAAAGCCAATATCTTGGTTTGGAAGCAAGCATTTAGTAACTCAATAGAGGACTTGAGATTCAACATTTGAAGTCTTGTAAAATGTATTGTTTTGTCTTAATGAGAAGAGAATTTGTTTTATTAGTCTTAACTTCTCTTACCTTTAGCACAATGGAGATAAATTTGATACAAGATAAGCTGTATAGACTGATGGCAATCAAGAATGTTCATCTGACACATTTACTTTCCATCACTTTTCATGTTAGTAATGTTAAAAAATAGAGTCTTGTACAATCATAGTTTCTTTTATGAGTTATAAATCGGCTACACAGGATTTTTAGACTGAATTCATAGAATAGAATAGTGACATCATAGAATGGTTTCTCTTGGAAGGGAACTTGGAGGTCATGTAGTTCCAACTCCCTGCCCTGCTGCCTGCTCCTGTGTTGTGGAGAGGGACACCTTCCACTCATCCAGGTTGCTCAAATTCCCATCTAACATGGACTTGAACACTGCCAGGGATGTGGCATCCACAACTTCTCTTCAACCTGTTCCAGTACCTCACCATCTTCACAGTGAATAACTTATTTTTAATATCTAACCTAAACCTGCCTTCTTTCAGTTTAAAGCCATTTCCCTATCCTAACATTACATGCCCCAATAAAAACTCCCAATCCAGCTTTCCTGTAGCTCCTTTAGGTACTGAAAGGTGGCTCTCAGGTCTCCCCAGGGCCTTCTCTTATCCAGGCTGAACAGCCCAAACTCTCTCAGCCTGTCTTTATAGGAGAGGTGCTCAGCCCTCTGTCAGTCTTTGTGACCCTTATCTGGACCCATTCCAACAGGTCCATGAAGTCCTTATGCTGGGAGTGCCAGAACTGATGCTGCACTCTGGGTTGGGTCTCACAGAGTAGAGGGGGAGAAACCCCTCCTTGACCTGCTGCCCACACTGCTTTTGGTGTAGCCTGGGATACAGTGGGCTTGTTGGGCTGTAAAAATATATTCCCTGATCATATTGAGCATCTCATCAATCAACACCCCCAAGTCCTTTTCCCAGGGCTGCTTTCAGTCCATTCTCCAGCCATCCTGTCTCTGTGCTGGGATTGCCCTGACCCAGGTGCAGGACCTTGTCTTACCTTGTTGAACTTGATGAGGTTTTTGTGGGCCCACCTCTCAAGCCTTTCAGGGTCCCTGTGGATGGCATCCCTTCTCTCCATGGTGTCAGCTGCAACACACAGCCTGGTGTCACTAAAAAACTTGCTGAGGGTGCCCTTGATCCTGCTGTGGATGTTGCCCCCAAAGGTGTCAAACAGTGCCAGTCCCAATACCGACCCTGAGGAACCCAGCACTGGTCTCCACTTGGACATTGAACTGTTGACAGCAACTCTGAGTGTGACCATCCAGACAATTCCTTATCCACCACATGGTCCTTCCATCAAATCCATGCCTCTTCCGTCTCAAGACAAGGATGTAATGTAAGACAGTGTCGAATGCGCTGCACAAGTCCAGGTAGATGGCATCAACCCCTCTTCTCTTACCAACCAGAACTGTAATCCTGTCACAGAAGGATGTTTGTAGGGTTTGCCCTTAGTGATACCATGTCACCCTATTTTCCATGTTTTGTCATCAGGTTCTGTGGACTTATGGACCCTCAGGTTCCTGAGCTGGTTCAGAACCTCATCTTCCCCTGTGGTGGGAGTTTCTTTATTCTCACAGTCCCTGCCTTTGCCACCTTGCAAAGGGGCTCATGCAGACTTGGGCCTCAGTGGCTGAAGAACTGGCTGGTGAAGACCAAGGCAAAAATGTATTCAATGACATTGAGTACCTCAGCCTTCTCCATGTCCCAGGTAACCAAGTCTCGTTTCTTTCTGGAGAGGGCTCACATTTTCACCGATGTACCTGTAGAAGCTTTTTTTTGTTGCCCTTGATGTCCTTGGCCAGATAGAATTCAATCGGGGCTTTAGCTTCCTAACCTGATCCCTGGCTGCTTGGACAGTTTCTCTGTATTCCTCTCAGGCTGTCTGTCCTTGCTTTCACCCTTTTTCTGTGGGGGAAACATAGGCTTCCTTTCTGTGTTTGTCTGGGAGCTCCTTGTTCATCCATGCAGGTCTCCTGACATTTCTGCCTGACTTCCTCTTTGTTGCATTGGTCCTGACCTTGCAAGAGGTGATCCTTGAATATTAACCAGATTTCTTGGGTCACTCTTCCTTTCAGGGCTTTATCCCATGATACTCTACCCAGAAGATTCCTGAAGAGGCCAAGGTGTGCCTTCCTGATGTCCAGGTTAGTGAGCTTGCTGTGTGCCTCCTCGCTGGCCTCAGGATATTGAAGTCCCCCATTTCATGGTTGCTGCAGCCAAAGCTGCCCTTGAGATTCACATTCCCCACCAGCCTCTCCTTGTTGGAAAGAACAAGGTCCAGCATAGTGAGTCTCCTCGTTTACTCCTTAGTCACCTGGAGAAGTAAGTTATCCATGAATCTCTTGGATTGCTCGTGCCCTGCTGTGTTGTCCCTCCAATGGATATTGGGGTATGTGAAGTCCCCCATGAGGACCAGGGCCTGTGAATATGAGGCAGCACCTCTCTGTCTGTAGAGGGTCTCATCTGCTTGGATCTCATCTCCTGGCTGGGTGGCCTTAGACTCCCACTATAATGTCACTTGTCCTTGCCCTCACTTTAATCCTCGCCCGCAAACTCCTCATCCAACCCCAGTACAGCTTCAAACACTCCACGTGGTCAAGGACATAGTGGGCAGCACTCCTTTCTCCTGTTTCCTGCCTGTCCCTCCTAAAGGGCCTGTATCCTTCCACTCCAACACTCCAGTCACAGGAGCCATCCTACCACGTACCTGATGCCAGTAAGCTCACAGCCCTGCAGGTGTGCTCAGTCTCCTGCTGCTCTTGTTTATCCCCCCATGCTATGTGCATTTGCAAAAAGGTGTTTAAGTTGGGCCTCTGATGGAGGAGACTTACTGGCAGGAATGGCTGGAATTCCCTTGCACAGCACTTCAGGTTCTCTCTTGCTGATTTGCAATCCCTCTCCATGCTCTGGGTGTTCCTTGCTGGTGCTGGCATCAAATGAGTGGGAGTGGAATGGATTGAGGATTCCCTCTCTCAGCCACTTGAGTGTAAGCCTTCTTGACCAGCTTGGCAAGCCTGTGACCAGACATGTTCCTGGCAGGTGGGCTCCCATCAGACTCTGCCAGCCCAGGCTTTCAGCACGAGTCCCCAGGAGCAGCCAGACCCCTGGCTGTGGCACTAGACCCCTCACCATTTGCTGATTTGCCAGATTCACCTGGCCCTTTCAAAGCCCTTCCCTTTGACAGGGAGGACTGATGAAAAAGTTGCCAGCACCTGAGTCCCTCAGTGCCACTCCAGAGATCTGTAATGTCCTTGGATCCTCCTCAGAGCACTCCTGGCTGTATCCCTGGTGCACACACGGAACAACAGTAGCAGATAATTGTCAGGAGACTGTATGAGGCTTTGGTGACATCCCTGCTGCAGCTCTCTGGTAATCTGTCAGGTTGATGAGTGGCTCCCTCCGTGCCTCTCAGAGGAAAGTCCCCTGGTACTGTCACCTGTCACCTTTGCTAGTTGTGCTGGTTGTTGCACAGGGACAGGTGGGGCTGTCTGACTCAGCTCCAGCCTCACCCCTGATGTGATGGGTCTTCCCTCTCCAGCCTGCAGTGCTGAAGTGGCTCTGCAGGGTCAACCTCGGGCTTCAGGGAAGTCTCTTCCTCCAGCAGGTCCTTGTCATTTCAAGTTTCCATTCTCTTGCCTTACTGACACCCCTCCTCCCTTCTGTGTGTGCGTGGTGGGGGAATTTTTGCCTCTTTGGCTGTGGGTTTACTGCAGGCTGCCCTTGGAATCAGCCATCCAACTCCTCCACAGCCTGAAGTTATGTAGCCTTCTCACCCCCTCCTGCTGCTCTGCCACAGGACATCCTCTGCCTCAGCACACCTTTTGCAGATACTCAAGTACAGAGATTTTGTTTGCAGTCTTGTTAAGTGGGTTGGAGACCTCCTCTCAGCTTCAAATTGCATATACTGCCATGCACAGGACACTGCCGTAACATAATTCCAAATAAACCTGTTACCTTGAAAGTAACAAATAAAAAACAGTTGCACAGAAAATATTGGTCTAAAACTCTGCTGTTGAAACTACTCAAGGCAAATGTCACTGGAATTGGTTAAGGTGGAATATTAAAATGTTGTCCTTACAAAAGTGACTTGATATTTGGGAGAACAATCAGACTGTGAGTCATGTTCTATGTGGAAGAGTAAATGATCAGCACTACTTTTGTCTTTATTTGTAATCTACCATGGTTAAGGGTAACCTTTTGTTTGCTACAAATGTTGGGATGTAAATCCCGAGTGACTCGTTGTTAGCGTTGTGATGGTTATTCTAAATAATCCAATTCTACCAAAGCTTGCTCCTGTCACAGTCCAATTTAGATGTTTCAGATCTGTTTTCAGATGTTGTTTTGTGTATCAACTTTATGTTTCCATTAAAGTCTGTGATTTCAGAAACATGGTCTTGAGTCAGACTGCCAAAACCTGAACACAGATTTTCATTTTGCAAAAAGCGGGATATGAGGTTGTGTATTGGAATTGAAAGAGCTTCCCTGTTGGCCTGCATTCTTGATCCTGTCCTGGTTTCAGACAAGCAGTAGGCACAGCAGCTTTTCCTTGCACAGACATTTGCCATGTTGAGTAATCTCATGCACAGCAAAAACCCAGCTCTGAATGCAGGAGGGGCTGTGCTGTGACACCACGGTGATCCTCATTGGCATGACACGACTGTCAGCGTGCACACTTGGAAAAAAAAGGGCACTGAAAATTCATCTCTTTATATGGGCTGTTTTTTCTACTGAGAGATCTGCAAAAAAGGAGACAAAAATTACACTTGTGGTAAACTTCATTGTTTGTCTAGCTGTTTTCCCCTATCTTATGTCTGTAAATGGGAATTCCTCACTTGCCATGAGCAACCAAGGCATCAAGATTTTTGGTTCTGTTTGGGTTTTTTTCTTCCTTAAATGAAGAATGTAACTTTATCCAGTATCTTCAGCAACAGTATGGAACTGAGAGATGTGAAACACCCAGTTTCTAATCCAACAGTCCTGTGACAACACTGCAGTACAGTAGGTGAGTGGGACAGTAAGTGATGCTGAAATAACCACTGGATGCAGGGAGTAGTGTGTACTTTAGACTTTCAGCACTTCAGTGTTGTTCCAACCATTAATTTGTGTGAAAATTTTACCCATAGTTATTGCTACCTATCCTGCTGGACATAGGTCCTGCATATAAAATACATACCCATAAGGGCCCATAATTACAGTTTCCATGCACAATTACCTGCATTAAGTGCAGTTTAATGAGAAATTACCTATTTCCTAATCCAATTAATTTTGACTCCTTTCCTGTTCATGAATGTTGACAAGAAATAGATTATTGCTTTTAAGTACTTATTCATAGTATAAAAGCTTCTTATGTCTTCTGTGTATGCTATTTTTGTAAATATTTCCCTTGAAGTGTTTCCTGTTTGTTCTGTGTTGCTACTAGTCAAAATGGTGACAATTTTGTTTCAGTTCCTCTTTGGAGAGTAAATGTACTTCCCACATGGGAATAAAGTGATAGAGCAGATGAGTATTTCCATTGGTGCCAGAAATACTTATGTACTTGGCTGCCCTGAGGAAAGTGAATTCAGAGGGAACAAATGACTCACGTAAACATACAGGTTGGAGGCAATAACTTTCTAAAAATTTCTGCCTACCTTTTCTAAATATCTGCAGAAATGACATGGTTTACCTGATCTGTGCTTTGAGTTGTGACAGGTGGGGGGAGAGCATGAATCTTAAATGTCAGTACAGACCTTAAAGCAGCACAAGGAAATCATTGCAATATTGGTTTCCACAAACTTCCAGAGGAAGGATACTCAGAAAATCTATGTGAGGTTGCAAATTTTAATTTTCAGAAATTAGCCTGTTTCATATAGTAGAAGTTCTTAAAAATACTGTCCCATGGTTATGAGGTACATAATATTTAATTAAGTGGGATTTTGTCTGCAACTTGTCATGCAAAGTATGCATGAATCTCTGTGATACCCTCAACTGGACCTTAGCAATTCTCAAAAACAGTAAAAGCAAGCTTATATTCCTTATTGATTTAGTATCAGTCTTATATGAAGAATATGAGCTTCAAAACACATATAAAAAGAATATTTCTACTCTATAACTTGAAAGTAAAAAAAATTACTTATAATTTTGAACTACTTTATTTCAAAACTCAGCTTACCTGAAAGTGTTGTTTCTCTCTGTAGCTACAGTGGTAAATTTATAACAAAATACTGGAGATAATATTCAAAAGCAACAGGCAATAGTCCCCATGAACAGAGTGCAGATGGGCCATAATGTGATGAATGATTTGATCTTTTCAGCCCAAGCAAACTTCCTGAAAAGAACCAAATCGTTCTCTAAAAATTTATGCAAGCACTTAAAATCTTAATAAGAAAACCTAAGTTCACATCCTCTCTATCTAACGTCATAAAATTTAAGTAGTCCCTCTGAAGTTAGGGGGATCATTCATAAATACATTATTAATATACATTTGCTGGTCTAAAGTCCAATATCCCAAGATTCAACTAGCAAAAGTACAAAGGGTATTATCAAAATGTGGACAAAGTAGCAATAGCCCTGGTGTACCCATCCCTGGTACAATATTTTAACTTGCCTGTTGGGAAGCAGTCTGTAGAATGAAATATTAGACACTAGAGAACAGGTAAGCACAAATAGAATTGTAATTTTTACCTAAAAGAGACAATGAATGAAATATTTTCTGGTATTTATCAAGTTCTCCAGTAAAGCTAAGTCATTAATTTAAGCTCTGGTTTGTATTTTCTCATTTCTAAACTTCCTATTCTAAACTTTGGGACAGCAACCTGTGTCTTCCAGTCACAATAATTAAGTACTTCTAATGCATTCTGAGAAAATCAAAAGTTCCTCTCTTTTAATAGTTTTTTTTTTTTTAGCTTTACCTGGTCTTTTAAAGGGTTATATGTATCATAAACCAACAAATTTCTTGCTGAAATCTTTTTCTTTGAGCCATTATCAAAGATAATGTTCTGAAGTTAAGTAAAAGCATTTTGCCTGCCTGAGGATAGATGAGTACACCTTCCCTTAAGCTCATCAGAAATAACTAATTCCTTGTTTGGGTTTAAAAGGCACAATTCATAAAAATGCAACTTTATCTCACCTGAAATAAGTGTGAGCACTAAAAAGTGCTTTCACCTGAAAGCACTTTCATATGGATTACAGAGTAATCTAAATAGTGAGAACAGTTTAAGAGCACTGCAGATTTGAAATCCTGAACAATTTCTGATGTACAGCTTCAATCTGGATATCAATCAATCACTGCAGTTCCTAGTCTGATTTTTCTTCTCTCAGCAGGTCACATAAATTATTGTTGAAGCCCTTATATAATTTTTCAGCTGTTCAGGGCATTCCTTCCTGACATGATCACGATTGAAAGAGTTTGATGTGAACACTAATTTTTGTTTGGAACATGTGGCATTTTCATAGCTTCCTGCCAATGCAATTTCCTTTCTGAATTTACTGCGCTTAAGGATGGAAGTATTTTAAAATTTTTAATAAAACTAAATCAAATTAATATGTATTTTAAGCATTTGGTTTGCAAAGAATCTTGCTTGTCTGTATTTAGGTGTATTTGAAAGTTATTTTGGGGGAAAAAACCCCAAAAACTCCACTTAGTTTTTTAGAGAATGTAATGTGGTGTAAGCTATAGCCCAGTGCAAATCAATAAACCAATGAGATACACTCACCCTACTTCTTTTTGCCAAACTGCTGCCAATAACAAGAATAGTAGTATCCCTTTATTGAAGAGTATTTTACAAAAAAGGAAGAGAGTCAGAATAAATTCTTGTCTCTTGGAAAAGCGCATGTCAAAAGGGTGGAATCCCAAGTAAGGGGTGACTGATGGGACAGATGAGGAGGCTGAGAGAGGGGGCTGATCTCATTCCTTGAGAAAGCTAGTAAGGATTCATCTTCAGATGATTAAAAGGCTTGGAAGAGCATTGTAAAGACTGAAATGTGGGAAAAGTGTATGAAAAGATCCAGGAGATCAATACCAGAGCCAGAGTATTTTTTTTTAATGTGTACAGAGCTTTGAGAACCAGCCAGCAAGGAACAAACAGTGTTAACTGTTCTTCAAGAGAGTTTTTGTGTGGTTAAGAGTGTCAGCAGAAGACAAGAATTATCCTTTCTGGTACAGGGTATAAATAATTGAGGGAGATTTTAGCATCGAGTCAGGAAATCATTTCAATGCATACTTCACTGTTTTTCCTGTGCAGAGCCTTTCTGAACAGTGCCCTGGTCCAGCCAGCAAACAGAAAGGCATAAAGTTTATGCAGCCTGTAGGGATTTTTATTTTAAAGCATTGCAGTTGGAGGTGTAAACCAGTGTTGTTCTTCCAGGATCATTTGTTAAAATGAACTGTGACAGTTTGTAAAATAGCAAGGAAAAACTGATGATGTGAGTTTTTGTATAAATACTATGAAGAATACTTTAATTTATACTGCAGAATATTGATCCTCATTTTTACATGCACAAAGATAAAATTAGCAATCAAGTTAGGTTACAAGTTACCATCAGAGGCAACTCTGTAACTGACTGAAATAATGTTTATGCAATCAATTCTGTTTGCTTTCTGAGTCTCCTTTATGGTTTCCTCATGCTAGAAAATGTGAAATACATGCTTTGAAATGCTAGACCTTAAACTAGAGATTGCTTCTAATTGTTATGATTCAAATGAGAATTATATTTCCTAGGCAATACATAGCAGAACACTATTCAAGGATATTAAACCTTGAAACCCAGTGATATGAGTAGCCCATATTCCTTTATTGCTATGAAAGGCATCAAGTCTGCACTGAAGACCTTGTCATACAAGATTTAAGCATAGCTCAGGGGGAGCAGAAAACACACATAAAATTATCAGCAGCACTTTAGCATTTACAAGTTAAGCTATGTTTTTTCACCTCCTACACGTGGCCAGATTTTACTATTTGCATTTGTCTGCACTCATAATGAACATCTTCATGTTGTGAGTGTACATCAGTAATTTAAACACAACTTGCACACAGCTTCTAAGATGCTTGACTTGCAGAAAAAGTCAGTTTGAGAAAACATTTTGTCTCTGTGCTTATCCTGTCATAAATACGATTTGTTTTTTTAAATAGTGCAAATCCTTGTTTGTCTAGCATAGTGCCAGAACTGGTAACTGACATTCTTTACACTTAAATTAAAAAGAGAATGAAACTGAAATGGAAATGTCATTTATAACGATTCGATTCCATCTAATAAATACTTCTGAACTTGATATTCCATAATTTAAATGGGGTGCAGGCTGCCAGATGAGGTCTTTCTCATTCTAGTTCTAAAAATAGGGACAGGAAAGGAGAAGCAAGAACACATTTTCCTTGCTCTTGAGAAGGAGTGGGAACAAATTCAAGTGATTTTC